CAGCAGGAACATTTCCTATCACTTAGCAATATGACAAAGGCTTCCAGGCCAATAAAGCTCAACTTTTCCATCCAAGGGGGCCGCACACCTTGTTGGGGTGGCAGAAGGCTTTCACAGGTCACAGCCTCACCTTCAGTACAGGACCAGACCTGCTGGGTACTGTCAATGCAAATGCACTCAAAAGCTTTGTTGCTTTCCAGGAGTCAGGCTGACCATACATGTCCTGCCATAATTTAGGCAGCCTCATCCCCGTATTTGATATGTAATGGGAAGTGCTGAAGGCCTCTGAGGAAGGTCGCTGCTGGGCGCAGGCTGCCATCTGTACTATTTAGGCGCGGCACAGACCTGTTTAATTTTCAGGTTGTATAAGACTGCTTAAGGCCTCCTGTACACAAGACACTGACAATTATGGGTGAAAGAGCATAAGAAGGCCACAGATGGTTAAAACAGCAGCTGGTGCTTCTCTGGCTTGCAACCTTTGCCAGAAATTGCTCTCTTTAAGTTATCTTTCGATCTCTAAAGAAAACTTCAGAGGATAAGTCAAAAAACAAACACACCCTAAACATATTATGTCACTACAGGTAAATTACTAATGCATAGTTATCAAATATTCCACTAGCAATGTTATGGAGAACAAACATTTTTCCAACACTGCTTGGATTTCAAATTCTCCTAAGTCAACGTGGAACATAAAGTCTTTTTTCAGTCAGCAATATACAAATCTTAGACCTGGTAATCCTCCCTTGCCAGGTAATCCTCTCCTGCTAGTTGGCTCCCTTGCAGGACTCTGAGTGGGGCAACACATGGCAATTCATATGAATTACTGTCTTCCATAATTGCTTTCCTTCCCAGCTCCCACCTGCTGCTCACTACCACAAAATGGATGTTGTTCATATAACTCCCCGTTTCATACTCTCTTTGTTAACCAGTATGGTAAAAAGCAAAGCTTCTGTGTGTCCAGAACTCTCCACATCTGAAAGGGAGTAAGGATTAGAATTTCCTCCAATGTACATAATTTTTTCCCACAAGGGGAAAGGCTCATTTGAGGAAAATGCCATGCCCCTTGCCCTTCCCTCCCATGAATGCATTAAAATCACCATGGGTGACCATCTCAGGGTTTGTAGCATCACTGATACCACTCAGCTGACAGTCTTCTCTGCCACATAAATGATGACATAGAGGAGCCCTGGTAGGCCTCACATGGCCATGCCAGGTCAGCTCCTGCAGAAAGGAAAGGGTTAAGTGAGCACCAATTGTAACGCATGCTTCTGGAAAGGACTTTGTGTCTTGATTAAAGCCAAACAGCAGCCTTTGAAGTATAATGAGAGAGGGGAAGAGAAACCACATCCCAAAAACGCATAATCGTATTCCTCACTGAATTCACAGGATCAATGATACGGTCTGTGCTGTAAGCACGGAAAATCCTATGCATGCAGAATTCAGCTCAAAAGCTCAGGTGTATGACAGCGGACCACAGACACATGATAGAAGGAAACAAAAAAGAGAAAAGAAAACAAGCTAATGAAAGAAACTCACCTCAGCTTTGTTCTGTTTCTCTTCATATTCACTCTGTTCCTTTTCCATACCAACCAGCTTAATCTTAAGGTCTGAAACTTCAGCCATTAGATCTAATTTCTGAGTCTCTAGTGATGTTCGACTTAGCAGCTCCTGAAAGCAAAGCAGAACATTTTCTCCAAGTTATTTATTTGAGCACTGACAGAATGCTACATGATTTACTGGCAGAGCCATAGAAAAGTCTCTACCCCAGTATTTAACGCTTTCAATACGAAAGCAAAATTATTATCTTCTTCAAAAGTCACACTTGCTACTGCTTTACAATGCAAAAAATGCAGCAAGACAGATTTGATGTAAGCATTTACTGCAGGTAGAAAAAGTAACTAAAAAAAATAAATAATGGCGTGATTGGCAAATTCATATGAAAGTAAATTTCTCTACCTCTCTTCACAGTGTATATACCTTGAACTGTTCCAACTGTGCGTTTCTCTAGTTCTGCAGCTATTTTCACCTAAATGGTCTCCAGTATTAATCACTAAACCACTGTGTCCCCCCCCCTTTCAAGAAAACGTGTAACAGAGTTAATTCCTAGGGCACACAAGAAATCAGAAAACAATACTAATGCTGAACAAACAAACCTACATAATACCATAGAGACCTGCACATGATACATTACAAAACAGTTAGCTACCTACTCAGATACTCATTGGACAAAGCTACGTTTTAGTATTATAGCGAAACATTTTAGAACTTGTTATCATGTGTTATTCAATAAAGAATGTACTACAGAATGAGCAGCTTAACCAAAATAGAGTACCAAAGACAAGTAACATTTCTGCAGTCATGCTAATAGTACTTGAAAGTTTACATGATGTAGTAGTTAACTTCTGAAGGCTACATGCTCTGGAAGGAATAGCACTGAGAAGTGGTATGCCCTAATCGGAATCTAAATGGCAATAATGTCTAAACCGAGCAACAGTGTAAATGAGTGTTGTGGTTTAACCCCAGCTGGCAGCCGAGCCCCACGCAGCTACTCACTCGCTCTCCCCATGGCGGGATGGGGGAGAGAACCAGGAGGGTAAAAGTGAAAAACCTCATGTGCTGAGATAAAGACAGTTTAATAGGTAAAGCAAAAGCTGTGCATGCAAGCAAAGTGAAGCAAGGAATTCATTCCCATGGGCAGGCAGGTGTTCAGCCATCTCCAGGAAAGCAGGGCTCCATCACACGTAATGGTTACTATAAGACAAACACCGTCACCCTGAATGTCGCCACCCCCCCCCTTCCTCCTCTTCCCCCAGCTTTATATGCTGAGCATGACATCATATGGTATGGAATATCCCTTTGGTCAGTTGGGGTCAGCTGTTCCGGCTGTGTCCCCTACCAACTCCTTGTGCACCCCCAGCCCACTCGCTGGTGGGGTGGTGTGAGAGGCAGAAAAGGCCTTGGCTCTGTGTAAGCACTGCTCAGCAGTAACGAAAACATCCCTGTGTTATCAACACTGTTTTCAGCACAAACCCAAACCATAGCCCCATCCTAGCTGCTATGAAGAAAATTAACTCTACCCCAGCCAAAACCAGCACAACGAGAAACAATTGGCCATGACTTCTGCTTGTGTGCCCCGAGTTTGTTTTTCAGATTGCAGAGAAAGGCATAGTTTGGGCAGAGTGATATCACTGGAAAACATTCAATATTCACACCTTCATTGCATCTTTCAGTTTTCAAGAAAGCCAAAGCAAAAAATCTTCCAAACTTTAACAGAGTATATTATATATAAAATGCTTCTGCTGGCCTCCACTTGCAAAGAGAAAAAAAAGAATCCATTCAGGAGTTTAAGCCTTACTGAAAAAAATCAATACCTAACTTTCCGAGTGCCTAATTAATTTTTGCAAAAGAACATAGGGTTCTAACTGGTTAAAAAATTTTACGGTAATTCATAACTCTTGTTGGCGTTTTGATCATATGAAATGCACTGAGGAATCACAGCAGATTCTGCTTTGAATTGCATGGAAGTGACTTAACTGAAGTTACCACAGTTATTCTGGATCTACACTAACGTTACTAAGCAATCAGAAACTGTCCTGTCCATCACCCTTTTCTCATCTCTTCCTCTTCCACAAACTGTTGTAGACCAAGGCTTGGAGCCAAGGAAGCCACAAAGGTTATTTTAAAAATTATACAGTTAAAGTTTATTTGGAACCCAAATCTGCTCTACATGTACATTGTTTTAGTCTAGTGAGGAATACTGCTCAAATTAAAAATAGTATTCAACTTGCATCTGCATTGCAACACCAATTATCTAAGCCACCC